GGTTTCCTAAGGGAATTTTGTCATCTCCAGGCAATATGAGAGCAAAACGGTAATACCCTTAAACTTATTTCTATGACCTAATTGTACCATAAGGGCGGATCCCACTGAAACTATTGAAACATAATTGGAGCAAAAGAAAGCAAGATAAAAACATCCCCAAAATTCTGCTTACATAAATTCTTTATGTCAAGAAATGATGCCTATACAACAAACCTGAAAACTCATTACTAAAGGCCTAAAAAATACAAACTAAGTCTCAAATATGGTGAAAATATCTTGTAGAAATTATCTTTCTCTATGCATAAAGGGCTTTAAATGACTGTTCTTCTGCCTGCAGCAAAAGTACAAGAGGTACTTTAGACAAGCAGAAAAAAAATAAATAAAAATAATAAAAGGTTGCCTGTGCCCAGGGTATGCCAAGCAGTGATGGTCACACTGATGCTAAGAGAAAGTGTGAATCCTATTCCTTTGATTAGGGGATAATATGAATGATGAAAGATATCAGACAGTATGTTACACGATAAACTTGAATCCTTCACTGTGTTTTTTCTTAGGGTTCCATAGGCAAAGTTACCTCTAGGCACTCAAGCTGGGCTCAGAGGGTTCATCACTCTCTGGAGGCAAAGGTACCTGAAGGAGCAAGGTGGCTGATTCAGTGGTAGCATCTCCAGCTTTCAGTGACTTTCCAGCCCCAGCTACCAGGAATCCACTGGCTTTCTGCACAAGGCTTGCATCCATGCCTCTAGAGCCATGCTTGCAGGGTGAGCCATTGCTTCTCCCCATTTTGAGATGAGCAGTTTGACCTGCTTCCCTCAGAAGCCAACAAGCAGTTAATAAAAATCCTATTTATTTACCCAGGTTGACTTGTTGGCTGAAACAACATCATGTCAGCTACTTTGAAATGTACTTTTCAGCACATAATTAACTACATTTTTTTCATTAATTTCCTCCGTACCCATTCCAATCAACAAGTGAAAACAAACTAATCTGGGGAATTCAGCAAAAAACAGATGAGAGGGCCCATCAGAATAGTGATGGTCTCAAACATACAAGCAGATGCATAACTTTAAAATCTCTGACTAAGGGAAGTTTCTGAAGCAAGATTATCCGAGAGAACACTGAAAGACAACGGTGTAGGG